TAGCACCATTTCATCAAGTTTAAAATATCCAATCTGTTTCTCTGAGCAGCCAACCATGATTGCAAACCCCACCTTGTAGGCTTTCCTTTCTTTGTAGCATGGAGGGAGGAAGAGTGGGATGCAGCACTGCCTAGAGGTAAGTGAAAGTCTACAGAATGAATGGTGAGAACACCAGGCCCTTTTCCACGTAGGGCTCCCAGAGTGTTGGCACTCAATTTATACCTCCTATGAGAGAAATGATCTGGAGAAATAGACTGGTTCACAGATAGTGAGATTTAGAGGCGTCTTCAAATAAAGGCCAGGTTTCCCAGTTGTCCTACAGTGAGGCTCACCAGTTGACGAGCTTAGAACTTGCCCCCGCTCCTGCCCCTCTTCCTTACCCCCCTCACTCTTAAATATGGTTATTCAGTCTGGCCTTTCTAGAGAAGTGAGGAAAAACAGAGAATCAAAACAAAAGGATGGGAAAAAAATTGCAGAAAGCAAACACAATGTAAGGTGCTGAAAAAAATCTTCAAAAAACTATTATCAATATCTTCAGAGGCAAGAGAAGATATTGCATTCGTGAAAGTGAATAGGAGGCTAAACAAAATTCAGAAAAACAAAAAAAAAGCTTTTAGAAATAAAAAGATAAAGTTTGAAATGCATATTTCAAAATTGGAACATAAAGTTGGAGAAATCTTCCATAAAATATTTATATAGATAGAAGATAGATAAAAAGATGTTTGAGCCAATGGTATAAAGAATTGAAAAGCAGAAGAAAAAAGATGAAAAAATCAGATCACATCAGTTGGTCCAACAATTTTATCAAATAGGTTCCATAAGAAAGAGAAGAAAGAAAAGATGAAATTATCAAAGGAATGGCAGGAGAAAATTTTCCGCATTGCAGGATATGAGTTTCTAAACTGAAGGGTCCAAACATGATACACAATGAGTAGAAACAAGCATTATACCAGGCACATTATTGTGAGATTTCAACACAAAATAGATAAAGATAAGAGTCTATATGATTTCTTGAGAGACAAACGATAAATCACAAATGCAGGGATAAAGATCACACAGCGGCCAGGCGCGGTGGCTCAAGCCTGTAATCCCAGCACTTTGGGAGGCCGAGGCAGGTGGATCACGAGGTCAAGAGATCGAGACCATCCTGGTCAACATGGTGAAACCCTGTCAGTTCTGCAAATATATAAAGAGCGAAACTCCGTCTCAAAAAAAAAAGAAAAAAAAAAAAGATCACACAGCACTAAATTTCTGAAAACAGCACTGAAAACTAGAAGACAAGGAAATGTGTCTTAAAATTTTTGAGATAATGTGATTTGTAACCTAGAATTCTATTCAAGGTATCATTCCAAGCAATCAGAAATAATAAAGCCATGTTCACCATGCAATACCTAAAACAAACAAACAAAAATCTTTATGCTTCCTTTGCAGAAACCTATTAAAGGATATGTTCCATGAAAATATAGGAGATAGATAAAATAAAGAGGGTGGATATAAAACTATGAGAATCTTGAATCTTTAGGGGAATTTGGGCCAAGAGAGAAATTTAGAAGGAAATTGTTAAAGAGAATAGAGAACAAGGGCCAAGAGAGAAATGGAACCAAGGACAGAGACATAAGTCTCATTCACTTTTGGTATCAGGAGAGTGCAATGCAGAAAAACAAAACGCAAGGGGTCTAGGAGGGAAAGACAGATGGAGATCTAGGTTAACAAAGGACTGGAATAAACGGAAGTGGGAACAGATGTCAAAGATAGGTGGCTAAAAAGTTTTTGAATCTTTGAGAAGGAACGCCAAGTTCTTTGAAAAGGCGATTTGCATAGAATAAAAGCAATGGAGAAGGAGGTTTGATTGAGTCAATGGGATGGAAGCCAGCTTACATGAGTTGAAGAGAAATGTGAGAAAGTAGAGTAGTACAATGTGTGCTTGAGTTTTGGTGATGAAAGGGGGAAGAAAATATATTAATAGTAAAAGCAGAGAGTAGGGATAGGTAAAACACTACTTAAGACGGGGAAAATACAGGCATATCTGAAAGAAATAAAAGAGATAATACAGAAGAGGAGATGATTCAAAACTATAGGGAAGAAATAAATTTAGAAACACTTTTAAAATTAACACAAAGGGTTGGAAACCCTGGTGAAGTATTTAACAAAGAGGAAGGATAATTTCTCTGAAACTGAAGACGAAGAAGATAAAGTAAGAACAATGATAGTTAGGGTCCAGTGGGTTCTATAAGTGTTTATTTATAAGAAATGACAGATATTTGTATTAATAAGAACCTAAGTTATTGCCAAGTGGAGTAACTCAGAAGAAGGGTGAAAGAATTGGAGGTTTAAGGATCAAAGAAATAGATTTAAAATACATTAAAAGGGTGCCCTGTGAGCCACAGTGGGAGCTGGATGCAGTGAAAAATCTTAAGGGAACCCAATAAAAGAATTCAATCGTTGAAAATAATTTGTTTACCAGGAATTTGTTGAATAACTTAGAAGAATGGATTGCCGAAAAAAAGTTACCAACATATACACTTTTATCACGAATCGGTGATTTGGACATTAGTTTGTTTTTAGATATTTTGTTCATTTCCAGAATTTGTTATTTCCTTTTACTTTTCTTACAGTTTTAATTTCTATTTTTACTAATTATTACTATACCTTGTAATAGTAAACATTTACCCAAACACACACAATAAAATAAAACTAATATCCAATAATAGATTATTGGTTAAGTGCAAACAGTAAGCATGATATGGTATAATTTTTGAATAAGGCATATGCATATGTATTACATATATGCATGTGCAAAGAAATGATCTAAAAAACATACATGTTATAAATGTGTGTGTGTGTGTGTGTGTGTGTGTGTGTGTGTGTGTGTGTGTGTGTGGTCTTTAAGTAGAATGAAATACAATGAGGTCCTAATGTACTTCTTTTTGCCTATTATTTGTGATTTTCTTGTAAAGCATATACATTCATTTAAAGGTGGAAAGGACAAAAGAAAAAAATGCTAAAAGTTTTCAGGCTTGGGGGTTTTGAATATTTTTCTTTAATTTATAAAGTTTGAGTTAATTCTTCGTCAAGTATGTTTACTAAACTGCTAGGCGTATTCTGTATTCACCTCAAACTCTACCTAATGCCTTTTATACAAAAAGTTGTAAAACCATTCTATAGTGACGGAAAACATTTTTTTAACTGACCTTTGCTCTTAACTTGTGAAAAACCTTCCCAAATAATTGTAGCAGGCACAATTCCCAACCACTGAGCATTTAGTTTTTTCCAAATAAATATACTTTTAGGATTGTTTAATTCCTTCTGTATTTGGGGCTATAGGGCCAGCAAAAATAAAAAAACACAGAACTGCCCCAAAAAGAAAACAAAGCATTATACAAGCAACCTGTGGCACTTCAAAAATCATGAATACATGGAAAAAACAATAAAATATTCATTAATGGAAGAAAATTATTGACAGGTCAATTTGTTTGCAGCCAATTGACTTTCAAGTTGTTTCAAATTAGATCCTGTTCTTCAAGATGATAGGAAAGTTTTCTACAGCCTGGGAGCATGAATAAAAATAGTAGGTAAACTCAGAGTGGATCTTGGATGGAAGGTCAAGAAATCAAGGATAATAATGTTATACAAAGCAACTGGATATTAAAGGTAAGAACCCTCTTCTTTTTTGAGACAGAGTCTCACTCTGTGACCCAAGTTGGAGTGCAGTGATCTGATCATGGCTCCCTACAGTCTCAACCTCCTCAGTCTAAGTGATCCTCCCGTCTCAGCCTCCTGAGTAGCTAGGACTACAGGAATACACCACCATACCCGGCTTATTAAAAAAAAAAAATTAAGATAGGGTCTCACTATTCCTGGTCTCAAATTCCTGGGTTCAAATGCCTCAAGCCAAAGTGTTGGGATTACAAACATGAGCCACCATGCTCAGCCTAGGACACTTTGAAGTTAAAGCTTTGGGTCATTCAATGTCAGAAACAACTTAAAAGACAGATAGTGAGTACTAGGCTTAGCCAAGACAGCATCTTAGCTTGCCCCTATAGAGTGTGGGCCACTACAGAGTGGCATTGGCTCTATCCTCCTGTACAGACAGTGATTGCCATTGTCAATGTCAAATTGGAAGAGAAATAGGTATCGCTATAGCAACACAGCAGTTAAATTTTGCATTTTCAACCTTTTTCTTTTGAAGTCTCAAATGCTGAACCAACATGAACGTTCATGAGTGCAACCTATTTAAATGGAATATTGTCTAAGAGGAGGAATCAAACTCTATGCAATCCTATTGTCCTTAGACGGTCTCTCTCACTCATAGGATAATCCGAAGTGAATAAGAGCTGGCATGGCTTGAGCTCACACTGACCTTGAGGGTGGTACCCTGTGCTCTAACATGTTTCCAAGAGGCATCTGGGTATTCGGATGCCAGACCACCAACATGGATGCCTGATCAAAAGCAGAGGTAAATAATTGCTTCTCTGAAGTGATTTCAAGTTTCCCTAACAGAACTGTGTGTATTTATCAAACCTTCATTTCATAGCATCCCTTTATTTACAGCAAAACAGACCAAAATACCGGCAACTAGTCTGAGCTGATTTGAAATGACAGGTATGGGAATTCCCAGTTGAATTTGTACCAAGTTATATTTTCCTACATCCCTAAGGGCAAATTTTGTGGCATCTCTCACCAGAATGTTCCAGCCTGTCAGGTAGAGGTGACTACTGTGATTTCAACTTGAATATTACACATAAACAAAAAGAATTATCTCAATAGCAACTTGCTTAAAGAAGCATCTTATAAACCTGAAGCACTTCAAGAATGCTAAATTGGACTGATATGGATTTTCCCCCTAATGTAGAATGATGTATATAAAAAAACACGGCAGGGGCTGAGATATGTGACAAAAAATTTGGAAACAGCTGTGCTGATTGCAATAGTCTCTCAATAATATATACTGCTTATATTCTCTTCTCAGTTTGCTTCTTCGACTCCAGGAGGTACTGGAAAGAAACAAAACATTTTCCATGGCAAACTGCTTTTAACATGACCAATTACCTTTCCATCTTTATGCTGCGCCATGGTTTGAATTACATGATTAATCTTTAACTCAAAAGAGGTCTGAGGTGTGCTGTGATTTTCTCCCTTTCTTTCTTTTCAAAAAGGATCTTAGAATTAAAAAAATGTGAAAAAGGGATTTCAAAAATCAATAGCAAGTGGCTTAATTTTTAGCAATTACAGATGTTAGCCTACTGTATAGAAAATTAAGACTGCTGTGAAACAGTCTGTAGTTTTTATATGTTTAGGGCTCTGGCAACCAGAATCTCCGGAATATGTTAAAACTTCTGAAATTTTACAATCCAATTTTATGACCACAAAACCTTACAGAAAGATGTGCTAAGTGCTCACCAGGTAGTATTAAGCAGTCGTAGTCTGGTGTTTCTTACATTTTAAAAATCATCTGGAATTTGTTTTCATGTAAGGTATGATGGTAGAATTATAACTCTCTTTTCTTTTGTCTTTTTATAATTGGACAGCTAAATGGTTCAACTTCAACTCCTTCCTCTCTTCTCACTGAATTATAATGCCACTTTTAAATATAGAGTACATTTGCATAAGTGTCCACAGACACGCCTCTTTCTGTTTTTTTCTGAGTATTCTGTTCTGTTCATTTGACCTCTCCATTGCTATCCCGATATCACACTGCAATAATTATAATTGTTTTATTCCATTATTCTTTCTTTTACTAAATTGCTTTAGACCTTATTGTAACTCACTTATTCTTTCATATGAAGTTGAAATAATTTTGTGCATTCTAGAAAAAAGCCTCTATTATTTTTATGGGAATTGAATTACATTTTAAAATTAATTTTGAGAAAATTAGCACATTTAATATTGAGATTTCCTATCCAACAACATAGCTTATCTCTCTTCTATTCAAATGTTATAATTTCCTTCCTATACATTCTTGTTACCTCTGCTGTGCTTTTAGCTGTCCCCCAGCTTCACAGTAGCAACATATCACCCGAATGAACCTTAGTCCTTCCTTAGTTTCTGCTGTGAGACTTCACCAAGGCAGGCAATAAGGGTACCAGCTCTGAAGGTTAAGACTGGTGTTTCTAGTATTTCCTAGGCTCCATGTCACGTTCGTGCTTCTGGTTAGCTGTCTGCACAAGGCCGAGTACTCATTTTTGGTATGCCTATGTTTTTGATCCTTTCTCTCCCTCTCACCCTTGCTATGCATCATTTGGCAAGCTGTATATTTAGTCCTTTGATCAGTGCCTTGATTTGATCAGGCTTGCAGCGATTTCTGCCTCTCTTTTCTAATGAGCCACAAAGCATATTCAAGGATATGTCCAGCTTGGGGGAAAATAGACTTTAATTCATAGTTCTCCAACAGACAATAGAGTACATCTTACAAACTGCCTAATAAAAAGAGGAGAAATTGCTCTCTGAATGTGCTATAATCGGATCATGTCTTTACTCACATGGTATTCAATAGGGATCCAGGATGGTTTAAGATTTTTTTTTTAAATCTCTTTATTAGTGTGAGAGAGATATAAACCACAGTTAGAAAATCAGAAACTTTCTACTCTCATGATGGGGAATAGAACTAACAATTCAGATTCCACATTTATGGTGACTTTTAATGTGTCAGGTGGAGTAATGGTGTTTTCTGAGATACTCTCTAAACTTTTTAAAAGATAGCCATGAGCCCAGAAATTTGAAACTTAAAAAAATGTTATGAAAGCTTATGTATTGAAATTATGACAGGTGATAACTGTCATGTTCAGAGTTCTTCAGAGTCCTTCAGGGTGCACTGGTCCCCTTGCAAGTAAGAAGAGACAGGGTCCTGGGAATAGGTCTGTATGGACACTGGGGGTGGGACAGGGAGACAACATGTCTTCTTCAGGGGTGTGCTGCCCACAATGATGCCTGCTGGGTGCTGCTGGCAGCAGCCCATGAACAACATACCCAAGTCAGCCAGCTTGCCTCAGAGTCTCATTACTAACATAGACCCAGAGGCCTGTGAATTTAGAATGATAATCCCAAGTGCACTGGCCACACCGTAGGGCCTGACAGTTACCACAGGGCCTATGGTTAAGAAAGCAGGCGAAACATTATTATTGGCTCAATGCAAGTTTCATGAGCCTTACAACAAAGCTTCTCCTTCCAAGAATAGTTCAAACTCACTTTATGAATGAAACACCTGGTAACTGACCCAGACTGAATATAGGTATAATAGCAGAAATCCGACGGAGACCCTGTCAATCAGGCAGCAGTCATCTGATCCCTGACTGTATCTTGCCCATGCCCTTATGCCACCTGTTCCTCCTCTCTGTCTTGTAAGAGTGCTAGCAGAACAAACTGCTTGAACATCAGACTATATCTAAGACTCATCATTGGAAGTGGATGGAAGAAGAAAAGCATCCCTCCACAACCTGGTTAACTAAGACCACTCAAGGGGCCTGAACATGACAATAACTCAGAGCCAATAATAATAGTAAAATAAATGTGACAAGCATCGTTTGATGTGTTTTGTTATTAGGTACTAGAAACAAATTTAACATTGTTGACTTTCAAAACAACTGCATGAGATATATATAATTATCCCCATTTTATAGATGAGGAAAACAGGTGCTCAGGGAGTTTAGGCACCTTCTCCAAGGCCGCATAGTGTCAATGATAGAAGGAAAAATGGAGTCATCATTTTGACTAAATTTCATATTCTTTACAGTACAGTATTCTGCTTTCATTCACTTTACTATCTGCAGAAGTCTAAGAAGTTTAGAGAAGTTTGGTTACCTGATTTTATAATGTAGAACATTAGAAACAGTGAATTAGAAAGAGTGGTGAGACTACCAGAAGTATAAAAATTTATGACTAAAATTGAAGGAGGAGAAAACTTCTGTAAAACATCCCCAAACACCAAAAACACCCCCAGAAAACTCCTCAAAACAAGTAACTTGGGGAAAGTGAGTGAAGAGGCAAATAGTTCCATATGTCCCTCAATAATCTTCGAGGTTATCACTGGATTATGGCATTAAAAAGGGATGCCTATATGCAGTCTATGCTGCTTATAATGTTGATAAAATTTCCCAGAGAATTTTGAGAATAGAAGGGACATTTAGGGATCATGATTCAGCGCTGCCTTGTGGACATAAATAATCAAGGTCTAGAAGGTGGCAGAGTTGACTCAGCCAAGTGCTGATCATTGGCAGAGCCTCACACAGACCTCACTTTCCCTAAATCCTGGCCTTTGAGGCTAACAACTCCTGGCTTCTCCCAAGTTTAGTGACACCTTAGAAACCTCTCATAAATATGGATAAAGAAGAGATCTCCTTGTTTGACATTGCTAAATTAAATGTCTAAATTTTACTTGTATGTTTTATCAATTACTCATTTTTGCTCAATAAATTAGGTACTAGATAAGTGCCTGCCTGGGAGATGAACATGGTCCAGTCAGAGAAACCAAGAAATAAAAGAGAAAGCACAGTATGATAAGAATGTTCAGGATGAAATGGGAGCCAAGGGGACACCTAACACAGCTGGGCTTTAGGAAGGGTCAGGCTTGTTTTCCAAAACAGGTGTTTTTGCCTTCAGTCTTGATGGATGCCTAGGGAATGAGCCAGGTGAACGAAGGAGGAAATGCCTTTTCGGGAAAAGGGATGGAATCTATCATCATATGGAGTCTAGAGAAGTATCGGATATCTTAGATTGGTTAGGCAAGAGTCAGCAAACTATAGTCAGCCTAATACATTCTACTATCTGTTTTTATAAATAAAGTTTTATTGGAACACCAGCCATGCTCATTCATTGACCTAGTGCATATGGCTGCTTTTGCACTACAACTAGTGTCAAGTAATTGCCACCAAGACCCTATGGCCCATAAAACCTAAAATATTTGCCATCTAGTCATTTACAGGAAAACACTGGCTGAACCCTGGATTAGAATAGATGGAGGCAGGGTACAGATTGCACACTGGTGGCCCATGGGCTTCAGCTGATTGCTTTTTTTTTTAAATTTAGTCTGCTCATTGTCCTTTCATTTATTAGTTTAAAAGAAGATATTTTAAAATTTTTAAATTAGGAGAATTCATGTAGAAAATTCAGATTTTTAACTCTTTAAAAATCGGATCTGTCATTTTGGGTCTACTTTTCAGCGTGGCAAGAATTAGGCAGAGCTAAGCAGCAGCAGTCACTTTCAGGTGTGGAACGAGCTCTCCATTTTCCCATTGTCCTTCCCACTCTCTCCCAGCCTACTTCGCTTATCTATCTACCCTAGCCCTGTAGGAACCTAAGTTTACAAATTCCTGAAGAGGCTGGATATAAAGGTAGCATTGATTCAATGAAGGGCTAGGAATTATTTAAGAACTTTCAACTTGATCCTAAGATGCCAGGCAGCCACTGGCCTCTGGCCTGACAAGACTGTCTTTTAGAGAACAAGACTGATAGCAACATAAAGAATGGACTAAAGAGAGAGTCCACAGGCAGTGAGGTCACTTAAGAGGCTTTTGAATAAGTCCAGAAAGGATTGAAGACCATAAAGTGTATGAGAGTGAAGGCAAGGAGAAAATGGATCCTAGGAATATTTGCATGACAGCCAAGAGCACAGCTGAGACTGAGATACAAGTAGGAGGTCTTGGGGTACTGGAATAGTGGGAGGAAAAGCATTAATATTGACCATTTCCTGAGCCCTCCTAGGGAATTCTCAACAGAATTCTAGAGTCAATGATGCATAGGGCCTACCTTATGTGGCCAACTAATTGAACTTGTGTCAAGAGAGTTTTATATTAAACACATTGGGAGCTTTGGATATCAGAAATTGAAGTAGTATAGCGAGGGTCTTTGGAAGAGAGTATAAAGGAAAGTATTTGATGCCAATGGTTACGGCCTCTGTTACAGGCATACAATATTAGGGTAGCTGAAGGGAGTAGGAGCTTTATCAGGAGTCTCAGGGCCCAATGTTCATTCCAGATTTGGAAAGTCTGGTAACTGTAGGAAACCATAGACACCCCACAGGGGCTCAAAGACAGTGCAAAATTCATGTACTGCTTCCAACTCTTTCCTAATTCTGTCTAGAAGACCAAAGGTGATCCCTGATGGTGAATGAGAAGTGACCTTAGGACCAACCTGGCACAATGACGGGAGAATAACCGTTCTTCTCAGCCTCCTTGGATACACTACAGGGGAGACATTTCTTCTCTGATGGAAAGATCCTGATGAACCTTCAAAGATATTCTCATCAAACAGTAAGAAGTATCACCTTACAAAATTGAAATGCCACTTTCATCTGTGAACACAGAAATAATCTCAAAATAGCTATTTGTTTGAAGGAGAAATAAAGCAAGTGGATAGAATTTCCTATCTACTTGGCCTAGTGAAAGACTCAGAGGGTTTAGATCATTCCTTTGAAAAGAGGAGAATTGGCAGTTTCTACCGAGCATTACATCAAAGGGACTGCAGAACCATGATACCCTGCATTTTGAAAATTGGGATAGCTTCCCCAATCAAGCTCTTCATAACAGTGAAAAGAATCTTACAGAAGAGAAAGAATTGTTCCTCAGCAACCCACACACCTCTATCTAACTCATTCAGAAGAGCCGCTGAGGCAATTTTCTAAGCCCTGTATTTTATTGATATTACAGAGAGGTATTGAAGAATGTCCACAAAGAGTAACTGAAAGACAAGAGGAAAACAAGGAGGTTAAAAAGAAAACCTAGAAGATGCTGTCACTATAAAGGTTATATATTTTCTCAAGCAAATCCCAGACAGGGTTCAGTTTTTGAGAGTAGTTGTCTAAGTGCTCTAAGCAGAGTAATTTTGTTTGTGTAAGGGGGAATAACGAAAGAAAAAGCATTTCCAAACACTAACTAATACTTAGAAAAAGGGAAGCTTACTCAAAGCAAACCAGAACCATTATGCTTATCTGACGAAAATGGGATTTTCAAATTTGCAAACATTTACATTGTATACATAATGCAGACACATTTTCCATGCACAGCAGTCAAATATTAAAATCTTTACAGAAGCTTTGATTTTGTGTAATGCATGTATACAATGTTTTGCATTGCCCTAGATAAAAATTCATCTCATGGTGTCATGCTGTGTCAATCCTGAGGAAAGGCAAATAAATCCTCATTTTACCAGGACAATAGCTTTGGGTAAGAGGATAAACTAGCTCTTCTTAATCTCCACTATTCTCCAGCTGAATCCAGAGGACCACCCACATGGACGGCAGTTTGGGAAAGGACTGAATTGAAGCACTTCTAAGCATAACCTGTTCTTCCGCAGTATCTCAGCAACTTCCGGCTCCACCAACAGAAGAAGTCAAGTAATAAATACCATTTTCATGATGTTTTACGGTTTACAAACAGCCTGTCTCATTAAATTTTTGCAAAGTTGCACCTGTATTTTGTTGAATGTCAAATCTGGTAGGGGACTTGTCCAGGAACATCAGGAAGTGGCAGGGGTAGAGCTTCAACCTGGGTGATCTTCGGGTCACCTAAGACCCTCCCACTAAACCCTTTATCACATCTGTGTCTTAGCCACAGAAGGGAAGTGAGAGGCCGAGAGAATCCCTCTTCTTCTGGTAGCCCCTGCCTCCATGAGTCGTGCTATAGTGTTTTTTGTTGTTGTTCATTTGCAGAGAGAATCTTACTTTTATAAGACTTTTGATCTATTTTGTTTGACATGTAGTCCATTTATCTCACTTCAAAATATACCATATATCTGATCTATCCTAAATTCCTCCACTTTCTAGCTGAGGGCTTTTGGCAAGCAGTTTAATCTCCCCAAACCTCAGTTTTCTCATCTATTAAATAGGGTAAGACATGAGCTGGGGCATGTAAATCATTTATCAGTACCAAGACATAGCAAGCACTCAATAACTGTTAAAATTGGAAACTTAGCAGGGGGCTGGGCTGTGTTGGGTGAGTGGAGCAGTGCACCTGAGGCAGTGAGCTCAGACAAGTGCCCAGCGGTGGTGGACAAGCAGCAAGGAGCCCACATGGGTGTGGGCAGCCAGAACTACGCCTCAGGCAGACTCAACAAGAACTCAGAGGGCACCAGAGTTGCTTTAGGCGGTAACTAGCTTTTGAAAAAGGAGAAGCAAAAAAAGAAAACTTCTTATCCCATGACAGACAACTGGGCAGCAAGAGGGTCAAATTTTGAGAGACTACACTAGCTTTTAAAGGCTATAAGGAGATTTGGGATGTCATGAATGCTGCTGCACATGTTTTTCAGAGACATTATTGTGAACTTGCACAAGCAATCATTGATAGGGTAAATGTAACGTTATACAGGGTGTGCACTTAACAAGTGCTGTGATGAACTAGGGAATGGATATCAGCCTCCAATCTATTGCTTGGCAGCAGCAATCTACAAGACTGAAGAAAAGAAATAGAAACTCAACGTTCCTCAGCCACCACCCAATTCTACATATGAATGTCAGCTCCATTTTTGTCTTCCCACAGGCAAAGCCCTCAAACTTTTGGTAAGCAGCACAGACACAGTATGCCACATGCAGAGGCGGTGACTCGCAGCAGTAGTCAGTGGTGGTTCTTTTCTGGCAGACCTTTCATTAACAAAATGAAATTGGAAGAGCCAGAGATCCCAAAGGACTGTGCTGTACAGGTTTCAGTGAGGCAATCTTTTCAAAACCCAATACCAGTTGAGAACTGAATTGGTCCCGTTGGCTGGACCCTAGACCCCTCCTGCTCCTTTTCATTGTTGTGGTCATTTTCTATTCTATGATGTGATATTCATTTGCACTGCTCTGAATTCCCTATGAATGGATTTAGTGCTGAGGGATTACAGGTGAAAAATTTCATCTGTGAATGAGACCAACAAAAATAATTAATAAAATACAAAAAGCTAAAAAAAAAAAAAAAGTAGCTGGAAGCTGGTAATGAACGAGCTTGGGTGGAGGTGAACATTTACTTCTCCAATTAAACTGTGAGCTACCAGGAGGGCAGGCCATTATTTACCTAATGTATCTGTATTTATTGTATTTCATTTATCTAATTTAAAGTATGATGTACTTTACCCTTCTAAACACTATTAGGAAAGTATGACTTTCTCACTGTAACTGCTGGGAAGGAGCATGCTTTTGTTTAGAATGTGAGCAACTAGGGAGCAGAATCTATTTTCCTAAGGGACAACTAGACGGAGGATGAAGGGATGGAGAGATAAAAGGAGAGAGAGGGTACAGATGTGCCTCCACTTAAGATGGGGTTAAATCCCAATAACCTTGTGGTAAGTTGAAAACATCACCAAGTCGAAAATGCATTTAATATGCACCTAACTGATGAACCATCATGGCTTAGTCTAGCCTTCCTTAAATGTGCTCACGTCACCTACACCTGGACAAAATCCTCTACCATAAATCCTATTTTATAATAGAGTGCTGAGTATCTCATGTCATGTATTGAATACTGTTCCAAAAGTGAAAAACAGAATGGGTCATAGGGGTACCCCTAGTATGCTTCCTACTAAATGAATATTGCTAAATGCTCTAGTATTTAAATTGACAATATTGTAAAGTTGAAAAATCATTACATAAAACCAGGGTACGCTGGAGACCATCTGTATTATAAAGTCACTCTATAATATTTAATGTTAGTAACATGGACTATAGAGACATAGTTAAGTCATTTAAATGACTGTATTTGATTATTTCTGTTAGAGTAATCATTTTCTGAACTGTGAAATAATTTTATGGCATAAACTTTGGTGGTATCAGAGTTATGTAACATAAAATTAGAAGACATTTTGTCAACAGTCTCATTTTATAGATTCTATGAATCAGGCCCAAGGAATGTATTTAAATATGTATTTAAAATATTATAGTCAATACTATTTTATTTTCTCCCAGATTAATATATTCAAAACATCTTCTTGTGCAATAATAATAATAATGTAGTTCAATTAAGTATGTATGTTTTTGCCAAAAGATTAAATCAGATACAAATACCATCAGCAGAAGAGCACATTGTCGACATTTAACTGGTTAGTCTTTTGGGGTAAATTTATGATCATCTCCCTGTTTTCCTCTGTAACATCTGCATGTAGAGAAGTTACCTTTGAGGTGACATCATCAAGAGATAAGGTAATATTTAAAATATGTAACTGCCTGTAATCAGTAACCACATGGGGGAACCGCTATATAAATAAATGGCCTTTCCACCCAAATCATTAATCCATTAATAGATAATCATAAGCTTGACAGCTCATCTGACGTCCAAACTACTGAATCAACAAATATTTATTGAGTATGTACCAGTGCAGAGAACTGTGCTGAACAATGGGATAGGTTAGTGAGGAAAACAGACATTGTCCCTGCTGGCATGGAGTTTAAAATATGTTAGGGAATAATAGACAATACATGAGTAAACAAAATGTAATTATAAATTATGATAAGTGCTATGATTGGGGCATAGGATTTAGAGCTGATAATATTAAACACTAAGATGTTATTTATTATTCATTTCAAATTCAAATTTAACTGTGTGTCCTACATTTTTATTTGCTAAACTTGGCAACCCTACCCGTATATGTGTGTGTGCATGTGTGTGGGGTGTGTGTGTGTAGTGGGGGAAAGGGGAGAGAGATCTACTAGCTGTAATAGTCTGGCAAAATTCACACCCAGACACTCCACTTAAACTGAGATTCGACAGATGAGAAAGAGCCGTCCAGGAAAGGAAGGGGGTGGCGTGGTGGGATGTTGTACGTGGCTATGGGGTAGAGAATTCCAGACAAAAAGAAAATCATGTTCAAAGGCCCTGACATGTTCATTCACTCAACAAGTGTTAAGAGTCTATTATGAGCCAGGCATTAGGCGCTGGGATTCAGTGGTGTGCAGAACAGAAGCACTCCTTGTCATCTTGGAGCTGTAAATCTGAAGGACCAATTGAGGATGTCAAGATACAGCAGGAGAGAAATCATTTTTGGCAAGGAGATGAAAGATAATCCAACTATATTATTTTTATTTCCTTAGTGGCTAATATGAGGCTCAATGAAAAAACAAAAACATGTATTTTTTGTTAATTCAACACCACTTATCCTCAACTTGGCCTGGGGGATAAAGAGGAAAAGAAAGAAAATGACAGACAATGTTATGTTATCCTTCATAATAATTATCTTGGGGTTACTTAACAAGGAGATGATTTGAACTCAGTGAAAAGTGAAGTGAACTGATATATAGAGATCTCACATTTATTTAAATTACTCCTTAAACCAAGCCATTTAAGCAGGAAAAAAAAGGCAAAACCCAGAAAAACAACAGCAGAAAACAACCACTTGTCTGATTAATTGTGTTTCAAGAAAAGCAGAGATGCTCTAGCAATGTAACCACTCTCTAGGAAATTGCAGGATAACCACAAATACCTTCCATTTTAGTGGGTTGTCTTTTTGTTCTGAACATGCCAGTTTATTTGGGGTGAAGAAGTGATTCCTGTGGATAAGAGCACAAAGGCTTTTATCATAGAAACTAAGGTAGATTCTTTCTGCCTTGACTATTACCAGTGAGATTTTTCAGATAAGATCCATTTTATTAATGATAATGCAGTTCATAGGGAAAAATAATCAGAGTTTAACCCTCAGGCCCTGGATTGAATTTACTAAGTAAAAATTTGAGGGGTAAAATGGAATTCTGATGTATAGGTTCTTTTTAAATTTGATCATTTGAAAAAATTTTAAAAATAATTTCATATTTCAAGGTATTTTCTGAATATTGTATACTTTGCTTAAAGTATGCTTCTTTGGAAATGCTGTTACCTAAGATTATTTATCAATTCATAACTTAAAATCTGGTAGGATGATTAAATATAATTAATAATTCAGAGACTAGTTATATCAAACTAACCTTAAATATACAAAGAATCTATTTTTCCAGCTCGTTGCTATCTTTTGGGAATCTTGATATTTTATTTAGTATATTTGCTATACATCTCAGATTCATATCAATTGCAGACTTGACAAGCCTGCAACCTGTCCCATGATCTCAGTCACTGATAAAAATATTAAACAGAGGAAGTTCTTAAATAGAACTCTCTGCCAAGCTGCTAGAAATATTGGATTTTATTGCTGGATAAATCAATACCCAATTACTTAATTTTGTCTACATATAACTCTAAATCCTTCAAACTAGTCCACAAGTTACTGATGAGAGACCAAGTGCCTTGCATAAATCCAAACAAAATTTAGTAGGGATTAAAAATAATCCCTGAATTTGGGTCAAAAATTCTAATGCACTTTTGAAAATATAGAAGTAAACTTGTTCACAGGAGAGCAACCAGGATGAGGAAGGGAATCAGAACTATGTCTTATATAGAACTGAAGTAGGAATTTGCAGAGGAGACATTTAATTCTTTTTGATAGTTTTACTTTTTCTGTTATTTAAATGATTTTCATATCAAGGAGAGGGTACTTTTGTTCAATATTATAGGTGGCAAATTCAAATTTCCACAGGGGTTGAGCAGGCCAGTGTGAGTGAGGACAGTCTCACTCTTTCACATTTCCTTCTTGGATAGAGACATGAGCACAAAACCCATTGCCTTTCCTCTTATCTCTTTCATAACTCAATACTCCATAGCAAATGGTCCCTAGGCTCAGTCTGGAGGTGTTATGCCTGGGTTAAGGGGAGGGACAGCCACTTCTTAACGCCAGCTAATTGTTGTCAGAGGAGATGCATGTACACTCTCCCAATATTCCTATATCTTCCAGTTTTTTTTTTTTTTCCAAAAGAAACTGGAAACCTGGATTTTTATGTTAGTTCTCTTGATTTTTTAAGAACATGAACAATAAATTTCTATTTTTAAAAAAACACTTCGCTAGTCAATTGTGGACAGGCCCAACAACACATAAGCTGCTCCTGACTCTATGACTCCCAGAGGCTGGACCAGAACCAATGACATGAAGATATAGCAAAACAGGCAAGAGATGAGTGGAAGGAAGAACTTGCTGCTTCTCAATTGCCTGCCTTCTCTTGAGATCATCAAATCTGAGCAGAGCAACCTCATGTGATCATATTGGACATCAGTTATATCCATGACTGGATTACTGACCTTTAACTCCTTGTCTCACTTTGAGAGTCTGTGGTTCCAAATAAAGCTTTCTCTGGGGATTCAGGAGAGAAAATCAGTGGCTGGCAAGTTCTCAAGAGTGTTTGCCTGAGAGGTACAATATGATCTCAGCTTTGCAAAATGATTGCCATTTCAAGGCAGATGACTTGGAGGGAATTTCTGGTTGACAAACTGCAGGCACAAAGGAGTAAAGGTGGAAAGGAGAGTGGCCTAGGATGGGGGTCACAATGAAATGATTTTAATGGGATGGAGGGCTTATGGCAATTAAGCCAGGGGGTCACAATTGGCCATATCCAATTATGTTTGGCCATCACATGGTTTAAAATTAAAATTGAACCTGAAGCACTTTTTGAGGACATGTACCCTACACTTAGCTACTGACACCATCAATTCTCATCTTGTATCCTGGACCATCACACAGTAACATTACCCAACTGACCCCAACCATTCTTAGATATTCTACCCCAACAATACATTTTGATTTTATAGAAATTTATTTTCCTGAGACAAATTTATGGTACATAAATCAAATATCTCTTGAGCATTATTACATGGTTAGGAAATTGGAACTTAAAGAAAAAATAATAGAAATAGTAAATTTGAGGTAATGGTTGAAGCTAGAGGAAAGTTTCATTTATATTTTTGGAAGTCCACAGGTTAAGTGATAAATCTCACATTTGTCTGGTTTGATAAACTGTTCCCATGGTTTGAAAGATGGAGGTAATTCTTCCACAAACATGGACACGTTAGGGCTCTGTCAGGTCTGGTTAGGCCTATTCTATCCAAAGTCACCAAACTAATCAGCTAAACAACTGGCTCCTTGGCCAAATATTTCACTTTTCAATCAATTGTCCTGGCATCAGAGACACATACATTCCTAGAGTTTTACTCTCATCATTTAAAGTCAAGTTTTGCTGTCACAAATACGTTATGCCTTTTACAAACATCCTTTCATTGGATTCTTTCTATGTACCTATCCATCCATTCATTAATAGATAGAAAGTTTCCCATCATGTGTACATAGCACAACATATTTAATCTTTCTTATAAACAGACATTTTGAAGGTTTACTTTTTTTGTAATTACAATGACGCAGTGTATATATATCTTTGTTGATGTAAGCAAATATTTTGTAAGGTAGATTGCTAGAAGTACCTTTACTGAGCACATTTAAAATTTTGGCTGATACAGGCAAAAATATTCTTGCCAACATTGAACATATCTATAGCTACCCACAAAAAAAATCTATAAAATACTTGTTCATATTTTTAATTCAATTTTTAATTGTATTGTCTTTTTCACATTGATTTGTAAGTGGTCATTGCGTATTTAAGACATAAAGACCATCAAAGTTGTTGCAAATATTTCTTCTAGTCCATCATTTGTCTTCTAGCATTTGTGTCTAGTTAAATTGTTTAATCTATTTCTTTATTGTTTCTAGGATTCGAATTTTATTTAGGAAGACTATTAATATTCCAATATTCTAAAACATGCTTCCAATGTTTTCGTAGTTTTTCTTAACATTTAGCTCTATAATCTTTCTAGTTCCATTTTAGGAATGATGTGAATTAGGCTTTTAACTTTTCTCCCAAAGGAATAGCCCATTGCCACATACTATTTATTAAAACACCCAATCTGTTGCCTTTATATTGGAAGAACAATTTGGTTCGAGTTTCACATTCTTTCCCTCAGAAGTGAAAATGTGCTACTTTTCCATCTTCTGAAATTGAATGTCACTGTGGTCAAGTCGAAGGCCAACCTGATTATTTCTGCTCTTGTAAGTGACTTGAATTTTCTGTCTATATGCTCCCATAAATGCTTTCTTTGAGCTTGAAATTCAGTAATGTTTTCAGATTATCTTATGGTGTTGATGATTCCAAATAAAATTTTCCTGGAATCCATTGGGTCCTTTATGTCTATCTATTTATTACGTTGTTTCAGGAGAATATTGTTTTACCATGCTCTATGGTATTTTTCCATGTGTTTTCTTCTTCAAAACCATCCAACTATCTGTCATTCCCTTCTGTCATAGTCTCTAGAATCATTATATCTTTTTCCTTTTCTACTTTGTTTTGTGTTATTTCCCCAAATGCATCTTTTATGCCTTTAATGCTTTCAGAGAAGTTCATTGTGTTTTTGTGGCTTCTAGAGTGTGTCTCTTTAGCCATCTTATTTATTGCTTTAACAATTTTCCTGAGTATTGCCAGCACACTTTTAATCTTCCTTAATTATTCTATATCTCTTCTATAAAATTTTGAATCTTTGCTCTGAACATTTTTGTTTGCTTGATACTTAACAGCATTTGCTTGATGTTTATTGCTTCACATACACACACACACACACATACACACACACACATACACATACAGAGAGACATATATATATATATATATATATATATATATATATATATATTTCTGTAAGTCCTTCAGAATAATGGAGAACTCTTTGTCTAAAATTCTTCTGAAATAGTTTGATATATTTGTTTGGAGGTTATGGGCTCTTCTTTGGCTTAAATTCCCTCCATTATTTATAAACATTTATTCTGCAGTTTCAATGAATATGTACTACTCCCTCCTTTTTGATGACAACTCATCTTTTTAAAAGCCTGACTATTAAATAATAGTTCAGGGAGAGGGGTGAAATAGGGTAGAGTAAGCTGAGGCTGACTGCTATTTTAATTTGGGTTTTATCCTGGTTATTATTGCAGACCAAACCCTGAATGGCTTAAAATAGCAGTCAGTTATCTTATTCATGTTTCTGCAAATTGGGCAGGGTGCAGTGGGTCCAGCTTATTTCTGCTCCACATGGTATCAGCTGGGGCAGCTTGAATGGGGTTGCAGAATCCACTTCAAAGATGGATCGCCCACATGTCTGGCAAGTCTTGCTGGCTGCTGCTCCTTCTCTAGGTGGAACTCTCCACAGACTCACTTGGCTTCCTCACAGCAAGGTGGCTGGGTTCCAAGAGTAAGTTCTCTAAGTGACAGGAAGTGGAAGCTGCTAGTTACTAAAGGCCTGGACCTGGAAACTGGGACAGCATCCTTTCTTCCGTATTCTATACATTCAAGCAGGGGCATAGACCCATTTCTGGATAGGAGTGTCAATGAATTTGGGGGCCATGCTTTAAAACTGCCACACATTATCTCAAGCATCTGTCACCAAATCTGTTATTTCCTTCCTATTGGGAATACATCTTTTTGTAGTTTATGGCATTTAAATTGAGGTGGCATAGAGAAAAACTCCAGAAGTTGCAGATGAGTTATATTTTAATTTGAAAATTTCTGCTCTTCTTTCATGTAAATAACCTTTCTTGGCTAGGAAACCAGAATGTGTCAGCATGATTTTTAGTTGGCTGCTGTTTTGAGGGGTCAGATTATTTCCTCCATTTTCCCCTGACCCATTCAGCTGATATTAACTGTGCTCCCAACAACAGAATACTGGATGATCCTTCCAGTAGTATGATGTGCTGTCAGGTCTGAGAGAAACAGACTTGGCTCAGCATCTTAACATTTCTTGTTTAAGATTTCACATTATTCAGCAGCAATACTTCATACTTAAATATTTCATAGTTTATAGTTTGGAGCTGTGAATACTTCCCTGTTTCAAGGGCTATGTTTCTTTTTCTCTATATTTTTCAGTGTTTTTCTTAGTTTTACTTTGTTTTGAGGAAGTCTAGTAGAATAAAAATACTTTATCCTGCTGTCTTAAGAAGCAGCTCCACATGAACTGCAGAATCAGCTTAAAAATACATGTTGTGATTTTACAAGTGAGTTTACACTGAAGATATAGTTTACTTGTGGGAGAGTTGACTTTTGAATCTTCTCATCCTATCTCCTAGAATCTTATTTTTTGTGGTGTCTTTTTGGTCCTTTACTAATTTAAACTTTTTCTTCTCAGATATCTTGTACATTTATTATTTAATGCTATTCTAATTATGTTAGATTTGTAAGATGTCATTGTGAATAAAATAATTTCCCATTACATGTTATTAATTGTTGCTGAAATCCTGGAAAGCTATGATTTTTGTGTGTCAATTATCTATCTAGCCAGATTTCTGATTTCTCTAATATTTTGCCATTTAAGTCTCTTGTATTTTCTAAATAGACAATCATATCAGCTCATCTATTAGATGTCTTACTTTGATTTTCCCAGTTTTAAATTTTTTAATATTTTTATAGATTTAGGGGGTACAAGTGCAGATTTCTTACAGGTGTATGTTGCATAGTTGTAAGTCTGGGCTTTTAATGTATCCATCACCAAAATGGTGAACATTGTACCTCATAGGTAATTTTTCAGCCTTATCACCTCCCACCTTCCCATCTTTTGGAGCCTTTAATGTTTATTATTCTACTCTATATGTCCATGTATACCCATTATTTAGCTCCCATGTATAAGTGAGAATAGACAGAAGTGCAAAGCACTGGGAAATGAGAAAACCTCCTGATACCTCCACTTACCCATTTCTGCAGGAGGCAGTGAACCTGACAACATTCAGAGTATACACTACTATAACCTACAAACAACCAGCATTTGAGAAAATCATGACACTAAGGCTATCTATAGCCAAGGACTTAATATAGAGCCTTAGTCTCCACCCCAAGATCCTAAATAAGCAAAGCCAAATGACCCTACCCAACGTATGCAACAGTCACACCCTCAAGGGGGAGAATAAAGTCCCATTAAAATGAATGTAAATTCAAAAACAAGAAGTCACAGTTTCTCCAGATGAGAAGGAACCAGTATAAGAATTCTGGCACCATAAAAAAAACAGTGTTGTAACACCCCTCAAGGATCACACTAGCTCTCCAGCAATGGATCCTAACCAAAATGAAAATTCTAAAATGACAGATAAAGAATTCAAAATATGGATTATAAGGGAGTTCAATGAGATCCAAGGGAAAGCTAAAAACCAATACAAAGGAATCTGAAAAACAATTCAAAATATGAATTAAAAATTTACTAAAGAGATAGATATTTAAAGAAAACCCAAAACTCTGGAAATGAAAAATTCACAGTAGGAATTATAAAACACTGTTGAAAACTTTAACAATAGATTAAACAAAGCAGAAAAAATTCAGAGCTAGAATGCACATTTTTTTAAATTAACCCAGTCAGACAAAAATAAAGCAAAAAGGATTTAAAAACTGAACAAAGCCTTTAAGAAATATGGATTTTTCCTGTTTTAAATTTCTATGATTTTATATTTTAAATTTCAATTTATTCCTGTTTTGTGGATATAACAGCATTTTATAGCCATCTTAGTAAGTACATATATTTTGAGCTTTCATTTTCTACAGTGTTGTTTCCCCTTAAAGTTGATCTTATCTGCTTTCATAATCTATAGCTGTATATAACTTACATCTAAAATCTCAACAGATTTTTATTTTTTAAAGGTGAGAATAGATATGTATACTAAAGCTGCCATCTTGATGAAATGAGAAAGCCAACTTAAAGAGGTTGGCTGACTTGCTCATTGGTATAAAATTAGTAAACGATAAAAGTCAGAATCCAAACTGCCAACCCAACCTTTACTTCAAAGTAAAACACACACTATCCACATCTGAGGTATGTTCTAAGATTAAAGTTTTTCCATGAAAACTTTAATCAGAATTACTAATAAAAAGAAAGCCAAATGCATACATGTATATATTTTTCTACTTTTCATAACATTTTCTTACAAATATGCTAATGAAAAGGCTAAAAGTAAACCTATAAGAAAAACAATGTCTGAATATCAAAATAGTCAGCTGTTATATAAGCAAGAATTAACTCTGCGAGGAAGTTCTGAGCTCCATAAAAAGCAAAGTAGGTGAGTGAAAATGGGAATGGGGGATAAAAATGAAAAAAGATAAACCTCAAAACATATTAGGGTAAGAATTTAATGGCTCAAAATATAGTATGTTCACTTTAATGTCATTAAATAAAATTTGACCATTTATCTGCCATTCTGAAAATAAACCATTTAGCATAGACTTTAAAATTTGACTTTCATATCCAATTTGAATTAATTACCTTTAGAAAAAAAAAAAACAAAAAACCAGATGAAACTACATTATGATTCTGAGACTAGAGGATAATGCCAGGAAGAGGGAAGTCTAAATTCTATGTGAGTTATTTCATATAATAATTTACTGAGCATTCACTCTAACTTTTGTAAATCTCTTGCTGTTAACCCATGAAGAACATCTAAACAGTGAAAGAAATTATTCCTTTTTCCTTCAATATTGCCTGCCATTCTGGCAATGGAAAAAATGATGTATTTGAGGACCCCTGCGGCAGGAAAATGGATAAGAGCTCCCACCTTCTTTCCCATAAACAACCAATATTTTAAAGCTATTAACACAGGAGCTGGGCATTCAAAGACAGTTCATTTATCTTCCAATAGCTGGCAAAAGTGTCAGGCACTGCAGTCAGACACAGAAAAATGGGCCCTGAGTTCACCCTCTATTGCTGAACAGCTGCTCTTTCCCAAGGTTTTAATCAGATTCCCTAAGCATCCCATGCCCCAGTAAGGCATAGCCCACATAAAATCGGCAATAAGCCTGCCATGTAAATTCATTACAAAGCTCAAGTAATATGAACAGATTATATTCTCCAGGTCAAGAGAGAGCTTTTAGTTTAGACCAAAATTGTTACTGTATATTGATTTGGCCCCTTGTTCTCTGGAAAGTTTTTTCTTAGAAAAAAATTCAGACTTGATCATCTGAAATAAAAGACATTTTCTTGGTTGTTCAGAATGAGAAGGCAGGTTTAAGTGTATTAGAAAGAAAATATATCTTCGGATGAAAAATTATTAATTCAGAGCTCCTGAAACTATTTTATAGAGTTTTGTCTTTTTGTTTAGCTGCACCTACCCCTGAAGTGACAGCCATAGCTTCCTTCAACTCTTTTGACTTCTGACCAAAAAACTTAGCACGCACTATTTTATATTGTGTTATTACTAGAAGCTAGTGTGGCAACCTTTGGAAATCTTTCCTTGCATGATGCAAAAGTCAAAATTGGTTCTCTCACAGACAGCCCGATGCCTAGTTATCAACTACTATCTGTTAGTAGGTACTATTGTGGGCATTCATGCCACCTGTTACAACAGAAGAAATGAGATGAGAGGGAATTACCATCAACCCCTGACCAGATATTAAAGGATTAAATAGAGACAAATGACACTGATGCATCATGACAAAAGTATACTGTATTATTTAGAAAAAGGATTAGGTAGTCTTGAAAGAATCACAGAATCAAACTCTGCTAGGCATCCTCCCAGCTTTGTACAGTGGGGAGAGTCCCAGATTTTTTCATCTTACTAAAAGTGAGTAGTTTTAAATTATCCTGACTGTTGGTATGGATTTAGAGGTCATTACCAAGCACTTCAAATTTTAAAAGACCCATTGGCTAAACAACAGCTTTTGTGTGGAGGATGCAGAGAAACATTAGACACATCAATCTACCCTTCATCTGTCCCTATGCTTACTACACAATCCTCTGGATATTATTTGCTTTCATATACAGGCCTGCCTAAGGGAAAGGCTGCTTTTATCATAGGGTGTTTGGGGTTCTTGAAATCCAATGACAGTAATTTCCTGTGGTGAATTAATAAAGTGGATGCTGATTATAATTCATCTTCTTAAGTACCTTGTTCATAGAAAGAAAATGAACTGATCATACCAGCATGGATATTCTGGTCCCCAGGTCAGTAATTTCTGAGTTTATTATGTTAGCACCTTCATTCCACTTCTGCCTCTTGTGTACTATGAACCCAATATAGCCAATATTTTCATTCTCTTAGTACATGGCTGGCTATATTGGGCCCAGATTAGAGAACATCACTGGGCACTCCGAACTAGGGAGACAATATTTTAAAGGGGGAATAAAATGAATGAGGAGATACTATTACTGAGTTATGATATACAGCAGAAGACAGAATTACCTCCTTCAACTTTTTCTCATAACTGGTTTTAGGTAGGGCATGGTGGCTCACGCCTGTAATTGCAGCACTTTGGGAGGACAAGGTGGGACAATTGCTTGAGCCTAGGAATTTCAGAACGGCCGAGGCAACATGGTGAAACCCTGTCTTTACAAAAAATACAAAAATTTGCCTGGTGTGGTAGCATGTGCCTGTGGTCCCAGCGACTCGGGAGGCTGAGGTGGGACGATCCCTTGAGCCTGGGAGGTGGAGGTTGCAGTGAGCTGAGCTTGCGCCACTGCACTCTGGCCTGGGCAACAGAGTGAGCCTTAAAAACAAAACAAAAGTGGTTTGCTGCCTAGAAAAATCATCTTAAAGTCATCTGTGCACCTAAAGAAGAATTTTTAGAGCATCTCTATTACACAGCATTAACAACAGCTGGTGTGGCAGAAAATATCCCTTGTGTACCATCCACAGAAGTAACTTCTCCCCAGAAAAATGGAGATTACTGAACAGGTGGATTCCTAGTGTGGGTTATAAATCTGACAATAAGAGAACATGAGGACATCAGAACAGAGTAAGACAAACCAGGAAGACAAAGTGAAAGATGGAGAGCCTTCAGAGAGAGCATGACATGTCCACAAGTGGAAACACCAAAACCACAAAGAGCCTAAAATTCTGGAGGAAAAAAAAATGGAGGGGCCCCAAGGAAGATACTTTGCTAGTGTCCTAATAAATTGGTATCCTTTGCACAGTCTGAAATTGTTAGACTATCTATGACCTCATAGCAGACATAGATTGATTTCAGCATTTCCTTATCAAATTGAAAAGGATTCTGTTGTCACAATCTTTTGAACCATTTTGAGAAGCATTCTGGTGAAGGTAGGTATTTGAGTGAAAATCTGATTGCTTTAATAAACAGGTCTTTCGCTGTGTTTCCACTTTTCCTCCGCTTTCTATATATTGTTTCTCCCTCCGTGGCCTCAGTATCCCCCATCTCTGAATATTGTAGTGGGTTATGAGTAATTGTTTCTAACTCATTTTGGCCCCAGCTCCCATTAACTATCATCACTATTATTGGGGCAGCTATTCCTTAATAGATTCATGAATGTTTCTACCAATTTCTCTGCCCAACTCTGCCTGCTCTCCTTTATTCTGAGTTTAGTTTCTTATTTCTACTCAATTATATTCTTCAGAAGTTCTATCACTGATGCATGATAAAACATCAGAAAATGTATTTAATCTTATTCTTCAGTGACATTTCAGTTGAATTTAGAACCTGGGCTGTCAATAAATTTCTTGCAATACTTTGAACCTATTATTTCTCTATCCTCTAGCAGTTGAGCAGCTATTGTTGCCAGTGAGAAAA